TGGGGGTGGAATCCTATGAACCAACCTCAAAGAATGATGGAGAAACCAAAGTGACTGCCAATGTATTATTACTAACAGGGCCAAGGGGGACTGAACACTGGCAGCCTTTGGCCAATAGCAAAGGCAGGCTACGCGGGAAGCCAACTTTTATAAGAGGAAGTTGCTTAGTGACCACAGAAATTGGAACAAGGGGAGTTAGTTTCATAATTCAGATGTTTAATGATGCCAGGCTAAGAGGGTCTGCTGTGTGGGAGATGCCTGCCATCTGGCCCGGGCAGGGAGAGGCGTTGGGTCAGATGATGGCTCCCTCTCCTGGCCAAGGCTGAGGGGCCACTGCCAATGTTTGCCTCTGACAGTCTACTTTTTTTTGCTTTTTTTTAAAGCTTCTATGGCTCACCATAGGCTTAGGAACACAGACTGCCAGGTTAGGTCAAGCTTGGGGGTCTGGGAATCATCCCACCTTTCAAGGAGGTGTTTCTCAAAGGGTAAGCCTCTGAATACTTGCATGCGAACTGTGTGTCTGTGGGTGTGATGGGGTGCTGGCTGAAATGCAGATTACTGGAGCTCAGTCCTGGAGATGGTCTGAATGAGTGTCTCTGGGGACCAGGCCTGGGGATCTGAATTTTAAATCAATATACCACTTGAATCTAATGTACCGAAAGTTTGAGAATTATTGTTTTGGGGGTGATCTTGCCTATACCTGAGTTGATTTTAGAGTGAGCCATCTTATAGCCAGGTGTTTACGGAAATCCTTGGTGCTGGTGATATTTTGCATCTTCATTATGTCCTAGGTTAAAAACTCTATTGAGCATTGTTTAAAAAAAAGATTCTCAAATGGGGTAGCCTATCTAATGAATATAGTCATGACCCTGGTACACAGAGAAGGCAGAATCAGGTGTATGAATTTCCCCTGAATTCTGTCTTACCGAGGCTGCTTTTTGTCTGGTACCTACCCTCAGTCAAGATAGTTTATTAACTCATTCTTATGTTATAGGCATAGGTTATTAAACAAATGATTAGCATTTCAAATAGTACTCCTCACAGGACTGTTACTTATTTTGTTTTCCTACTGCTCAGTATTAGTGATGTTAAATTAGTTAAACAAGGAGGCCATTAGACTGAGGTGGCTCTAACGCCGTGGTGGCTATGTCAGCAAACCAAAACCTAAGCCTGTAAATGACTCAAGGTTATGAAATTGAAACCTAGGGACAAGCAATCACAAACAGCCAACTAGGCTGTAAGCTATAGCCAATGAAGAATATCCTTTCTTTGCTTCTGCCTTTTCTCTATACACGTCTTTCCCCTGGCTCCTGTCACAGGAGCTCCTGACCACTTCCAGCTTGGTGCTGCCTGATTCCAATCGATTTAGGCTCGAATAAACTCTTAAAATTTTTAATATGCCCAGTTTATCTTTTGGCAGTGACCATTTGAGACATGCCCGAGGAAAGTGCTATTCAAAGAGCTCAGACAAAACTCCTAATCATTGGCTCTAGGAAGTTTATCCCAACAGAACTCCTGGTCTCAGAAGGAGGGAGGACGCAACAGGAGCTGGACTCAGAAAATACGAAGCTGGTTTTGATGAAGGTAAATGAATTCGAATGCTTGCCTAGAAAGGAGAGACCATTTTTTCCCTCAGTTCAATGGTTCTCCGGTTCTCCCTGACTTTTCACATTCACCTCAATCTCGTTGACCACTGGGAGGGTCCTCACCTCTCATTATCACCTCTCCACGTAATTATCCTCCCATCCAGGCACTCGAGGGGGTGACACTTAATTTACTGACAAAGACCGCTGTTTCAGCTGCAGCCACGTGAGGAAACAATTGCAGGCCCAGCGCTCAGCCAGATTAATCACAGGTGTGTGATCCTGACACCCCAGCGGACAGCCTTTTGGAACAGGAGAACGTCGAATTAACATCAGATTGAGCCCAAATGGCAGCTCTAATGATGATTCCTCTGGAACTTCAGCCTGTTATTCTCAAGGAGGTGCAAACCCCAGAACATTCTTAAGGCTCTATTTTTGACCTTTTAAGACAATAATGTGACTTGAGAAGGGAGAGGGAAGCATGAGAATTCAATTTCTGGCCAAATAATGTAGATTGCAAGCCGACTGCCTCTTAGAAATAAAAAAACAACAAAAAATAAGGCTGATTTTGTATATATGACAGAAAATGCAATACAGTTTTTATATTGTATTTTGAACAGAATTAACAGAATCGATTTCCTTTAGAGTAAGTTTTCAAATGCCGATTCTAAGTGCGTTTACCTACCCGTTAGGTTAAACTAGTCCACATTCTTAAAGATTATGGCCCTGTAACGGATGTACACTCCTTTCTGTGTACATGGGAAAGAAGTTAGATACTGACATTTTTCCAGCACATTCCTTCTCCTGGAGCCAAATTTCCTATTGCTAATCCTTTATCCTGATTCCTCCCTTGGGGAGTCTTGCTTAACCCCACACCTGTAGATCTTCTGGGCAAAGAATGTTGCCTGACAAACCACAAGGTTTAGATTTTTAAAGTGACACAAGGAATTTTTGTTCCTATCTTCTACAGAGCTGCAAGATTTTGATCAATTTGATTCATCACTGTGAAAGTAGTCTCATGGTAGATTGAATTTCCTCTGAATTTTTTAAGTGGTAAATGAATAAACGGATCCTTTTTTTAATATATTGGAGAAATGTTGCCATAGTTATTTCTTGATTTTTCTACATATAGCTTGTGTATGTTGTAAGCTTATTCATGGCGATTCAATTTCTTTCTATACCTTGGGTTCAGTGATATCTTCCTAATTTTGTTTTGTTGAAGATAACAATACATTTATTCTTTTATTTTTGTGCGTATGTGTGTGTTATTTGTTTATTTATTTTGGTGAGGAAGGTTAGCCCTGAGCTTCCATCCATGTCAATCTTCCTCCACTTTATATATGGGTCAACGCCACAGCATGGCTGATGAGTGGTGTAGGTCCACGCCTGGGATCCGAACCCACGAACCCAGGCTGCTAAAGTAGAGCACACCGAAATTAACCATTATGCTGTGGGGCTGGCCCCACAATACACTTATTTTTAAAGAATGTTTTGGAGATTAACATTTGCAGAGCTGCATTCCCACATCGTTCTCTCTCTTCTATTGTGGTTCTGCACATTTGCTTCCACTTCCTGGGACCACCCTTCAACCTAAATCTTTGGAGTTACATTTTTCCTTTTTTTTTGTTCCCTAAAAGAAAGACTCTTCACTAATAATTAGGGAAATGCAAATCAAAACCACAATGAGATACCACTTCACACACATTAGGATGACTATTATAAAGAAAAAGAAAACAAATCTTGATGAGGATGTGGAAAAGTTAGAACCCTTGTGCATTGCTCGAGGGAATGCAAAATAGTGCAGCTGCTGTGGAAAACAGTATGGCGGTTCCTCAAGACATTAAAGATAGAATTACCATGTGATCCAGCAATTCCACTTCTGGGTATATGCCCAAAATAATTGAAAGCAGGGACTTGAATAGATATGTGCACACCCATGTTCATAGCAGCATTATTCACAATAGTCAAAAGTTGGAAGCAACCCATCAGTCCATGAATGGATAACCAAAATGTGCTGTATGCATACGATGGAATATTGTTCAGCCTTCAAGAGGAAGGAAATTCCAATACAGGCCATAAAATGGGTGATCCTTGAAGATATTATGTTAAATGAAATAAGCCAATCACAAAAGAACAACATTGTACAATTCCACAAAAGAACAATATTGTATAATTCCATTTATATGAGGTACCTAGAGTAGTCAAATTCATAGAGACAGAAAGTAGACTGTAGAATGGTGGTTGCCAGGGACTGTGGAGGGAGGAATGGGGAGCTAGTGTCTAATGGGTACAGAGCTTCAGTTGGGGAAGATGAAAAAGTTCTGGAAATGAATGGTGGTGATGGTTGCACAGCAATGGGAATATACTTAATGCCACAGAGCTGTATGCTTAAAAACAGTTAAATGGTAAATTTTATGTTATGAAAAGGAAAGGCTCTTACGTTGTGATTTTATAAAAAGAAGCTTTCTGAGGACTCTCAGAAGCCTTTCTGAGCTGTGGACATCACTGAGGCCACCCAGTAACACAAAGCCCACAACTGTCGCCTCTTCCTTAAAGCCCCCTTTAGCCTGTCACCTCCTCCAGCCCATCCAGAAAACTTAAAGTTTGGGCGATGCACAAAGACTGCTGACCCTTCTCAGGATGCTGTGGTGACCAGTGTAAGACCAGTGCCTGGCTCTGAACTATGTTAGAGTCCTGCGTGGCGGTGACTACACAGTCCGGCCTGCCTGTTTGCAGAAGCAGCATGAGGAAAAGAGTCCAAGTGAAGAGAAAGTTAACTCCCACTGTAGACACTGTAGGGCAGGTCAGTGTTTCCCAAACTTGCCTGACCATCAGAATCACCCTGGATGATTCCAGGGCTCCACCTCAAGCTTCTGAAATCAGAACATCCATGAGCAGGTACTGGGAATCTGGTTTTGTTTGAACCAAATGTTTTGGGGGATTCCTAAAGATCAGTCAAGTTTGGTGTAATGCACTGAATATTTGTGTCCCTGAAAAATTCATATGTTGAAGCTTGACCCCCAATGTGATGGTATTTGGAGACGGGCCTTTGGGAGTCATCAGGGTTAGATGAGGTCATGAGGGCAGGGCCCTGATCCAGTAGGATTAATGTCCTTATAAGAAGAGACACCAGAGACCTCCCTCTCTCTCAGCATGTGCACACACGGAATAAAGGCCCTGTGATGACACAGTGAGAAAGTGGCTGTCTGCAAGCCAGGAAGGGGGCCTCCATTAGGAACCGAATCAGCACCTTGATCTTACACTTCCAGCCTTCAGAACTGTGAGGAAATAAATTTCTGTTTAAGCCACCTACTCAGTGGTATTTTGTTATGGCAGCCCCGCTGACTAAGTCATTTGGCAAATACTGGTGAGCGGTGAGAGAATGGGTTCGATTATCTTATAAAAGGAGCAAAACCCTAGAAAGCTCGAGCTTTATTCCTTTCAGATGTGGGTTCGGTTGCTGCGTCACAGAGTCCTTGTTGGAAAGCAGTAGTCGCGATGAGTCCCACAAAACATGTGGGGTTGCTTGTTCCGGTGAGCTCTGAGGCAAAGCTCTGTTACATACAGGTGCCAGGAACTGACTGCAGGAGTCCCTTCCTTCCCAGAAGGGACCGGGTTCCTTAGACTGCTCCGCCATCCTGACTCCCTGGGACGGGTGTCCTTTCCAAACTGTGGTGCTGATGGTGACTTCTGGAAGATGGCTCTTTGGGGTCCGTTATGCTTAGGATCTTTCCTGCTCCGCAGGCACTAAGCCACGTCAGCACTACGTCTCGGTAATATCTGTAATATAAAAAGTATTGTGCCAGGTATTGGAAGGTCCTGAGAGAAAAACCGTACGAACTTCCTGTTCTCCAGAAACTTAAAAATAGCAATTCTCACCTTAGTTTTAAACTTGCAGAATTAGAATGCCTTAAATTGTGTTGTATTTATAGGATATATATATATATATATATATATATATATATATACATATTTAACCTGTACACAAATGTCCAGCAGCTTTATTATTTAAAAAATTTTTTTTTATTGAGTTCGTAAGTTTACATCATTGTGAAATTTCAGTTGTAAATTATTTCTTGCCTGTCACCACATAAGTGCTCCCCTTCACCCCCTGTGCCACCCCCCTTCCCCTGGTAACCACTGAACTGTTTTCTTTGTCCATATATTTGTTTATATTCCACATATGAGTGAAATCATCTGGTGTTTGTCTTTCTCAGTCTGGCTTATCTCGCTAACCATAATTCCCTCCAGGTCCATCCATGGTGTTGCAAATGGGATGATTTTGTCTTTTTTATGGCCGAGTAGTATTCCATTGCATACATATACCACATCTTCTTTATCCGATCATCAGTCGATGGGCACCTGGATTGTTTCCATGTCTTGGCTATTGTGAATAGTGCTGCAATGAACACAGGGGTGCATGTGTTACTTTGGATTGTGGATTTCAAGTTGTTTGGGTAGATACCCAGTAGTGGGATGGCTGGGTCATATGGTATTTCTATTTTTAGTTTTTGAGGAATCTCCATACTGTTTTCCATAGTGGCTGCACCAGTTTGCATTCCCACCAGCAGTGTGTGAGGGTTTTATAGGATATGTTTTATATTTATTAAAGTAATTACGCACAAATTGCAGGCTCTTAAAGTTTCAGGACCTGGCGGCTACTTTGTTTCTGAAAAGTGAAGAATGAGAATGAACAAAAATTAAGCTTTTATTTTTCCATTTCAGCTAAGTCTTAAAATTCTAGTATCTTTGCAAAGGGGCTCAGAAACTCTAGATTTTCTAAGGTTTTCTGGATTTTTTAATATTCATATCTTACTGGTCTTATTTGATCTGGATTATACTGATTTATACTGGTTCTATTTTTTTAGGCTGATTTTTTTTTCTATTTCTTAATCTTCAGAAATTGTCATTTTGGGGCTGGCTCTGTGGCCGAGTGGTTAAGTCTGTGCGCTCTGCTGCAGCGGCCCAGGGTTCGGATCCTGGGCTCAGACATGGCACCGTTCGTCAGGCCACGTTGAGGCGGCGTCCCACATCCCACAACTAGAAGGACATGCAACTAAGATACACAACTGTGTGCCGGGGGGGGGTTTGGGGAGATAAAGCATAAAAAAAAAAAAAGAAAGATTGGCAACAGTTGTTAGCCCAGGTGCCAATCTTTAAAAAAAAAAAGAAAAGAAAAGAAATTGCCATTTTGGGGGAAAAATTGTTTTCCATCAAAGACTTGGATAAGTTCTTCAGGCTATGCCAAATTTCCCTTTGGAAAATTTTCTATTCAAAGTGATTTTTTTTTATCACTTGGTATGTACACCTTCTCAATGATTAAAGACATGATTTTTTGTCTGAAAGATTAGGTGAATAAAAATATATTCATTAGAATAAAAGATGTTTGCTCCTGGGGGTATTTATAACCAAGCAGGTCAAATTTATACCTGAATGTGCATTAAAATAAAACCCAAAAAACCCTATTTCCTGTCTCAAAAGACAGAAATTACATCCCTCAAAAAACTAGGAATCTCATAGTGTGATCCTTGACCAGGAGAGTTCTCCTTATGGACTGATACAGATTAAAAAATATATGTGCTTTTGGGGGGATTCTTTTGGGCAAATGAGGCAAAATTTCATTGATTTTCATTTTTATGTTCAATTATAAAGCTACTGGCCATTAACTACTTAGTGAGTAATTGAGTAGTTATGTCTCATATTAAGTCTATTTCATTTCCAGCACTTACTAATGCTACCACATCCATATTCTAAGATGTTGTCTGCCGCTCTGATTGTGTCGTAACATTAAGCAAGCACTGCGCAGGCACTCGAGGAATGCTTGCAAACTGGGCAAAGGATGCCTTTTATAGCTTGTGTACATGTGGCTGTGATTTCAAATGGCTGCTAGTCATGCTTTTAAATAATAAAGTCTTGTTAGTTTAAGTGATGTTTGGTGCTGTTGATAACGCTCATGGTGCTTGTTCTCATCATCATTATTTTTGGCCTATTATTTCCCAGTAGCTAGTCTCTAATCCACGTGTGGATGTGCTATCATTCCAGCGCTAGGCATCCACATGCCTATTGCTGAAGCTGACGAATATATATAATCTCCCTCACATTTGCTTGCCCAGGGACAGATCATCGGTGATATGCTACCAGTGAATGTGTTCGCTGAATAACTTGTGTTCTTTATGTAACTTACGAAACACTAGCAAATTATAAAGTTGGGGGGTTACCTTGAAGGTACGTACAGCATTGCTTTAGAATGGGAAACCACGTCTTTGTCACCTTTCAATTCTTTATCACAGAATTCTTTCCCACTGGTAATTGGGAATGAGTGGGGTAGGGTGAGCTTCAGGATCTTTTGCCTTGCCTCAAAAGGATGTGATTAGGAAGCGCTGCTTTAAATCAAGACTTCCAGGACTTGACTATTTGAATATACATTTATCATGAGTGATTTTCCTAGAAATCAGTGAATCTCAAGCCTAGCTGCACATTAGCCTCTTCTGGAAAGTATATTTAAAATATTGATGCAGAGCCCAACTTCAGACCAACTGACTGAAGCGTCTGAAGGTGGAGGCCAGGCATTGTGTTTTTTAAAAGCATCCCAGGTAATTATGAGGTGTCGTGAAGGTTGAGAATTCCTATAAAAGAACATTCTCGAGCTCTTTAGGTCTATAAACGAAGCAGCAACTGCCATTATTATCAAAGAATAGAAAACTTACAGAGATGAAAACATTAGGAGGGCATTGCTTAAAAAAAGGGCATTGTTTTAAGAGAAATCTTTGGTTAAAAGGGCAACTAATTGCATGGCAGTAATAGTAAAGAAAGAAGACATGGAGTTCATTTATAACATAAAATCCTCTAAGCGTGCCCTTTCAATGGAAGATTCATATTATCAGCTGCTCCCATTAGAGATAGAATAAGGGATGTGGGGTGGGGGAGGGAGGAATGACAGATGAAGGGAACAGCAGGAAATGAAGCAGGCAGAGCATAGTATCAGGAGATGGGGGTGGCGGGGGAGAGTGACCTTTCCGAGGGCAGGTGGCCAGGGTTATGGAGAGCCAGCAAGAGGCAACAGGTGGGGGAGGGTAGTGACAGTGGGAATTGGCAGCCTGCCACAGATGAAGTGGAGCAGTGGATTAGAGGCTGTGAGGCAGAGAGACTAGGATTCAGGGAATCCTAGAAGGGGAGAGAGAAGCCAAAGGAGGAACTGGAGTCAAGGGCAGGTGTCAAAACAACATCTCGGCCACACAAGGAGATGGAGCCTCAGATCCTCCAGTGGAGCTTAAGCACAAGGGCTCCAACCCATGGAATCAGTCAAGAGCCCAGCTGTGGGTGAATGGGCGCTGGAGAGGGCTGGAGCCAGCCGAGCAGAGAAACTGAGAAAGCTAACCCCAGAAATCCTTGGCTGTCCCCTCACCTGGAATATGGTTGGGAGCAGGGCCTGCAGGCACAGTCTAAGGAACCTTACTTTTCAGGTTCTGATTGAGCGTACTCCTCCCAGAGCACAGTCCCAACAAAGATGGCTTCCACCCAGGAACTGCTGCTTCCACCAGCATCCTCTTCCTGCTCAGCCGCGTACATGCTCAGCTCCCGAGATTAAGCACGTGGCTTGCTCACCTTTGCCCCCCTCTCCAAGATAGAGAGGCAGCTGGCATGTCTTGAATTGAATAATTTTTTGCACTTGCCTTTCATCTCCTAACTCACAACAGAGGAGAAGTCAAACTCACGTCACTTCCTCAGGGGAGATTCTGGCTTCGGGCTGTCCACTCACATGTGAGCACAGACTTGGGCTCATCCTGGAAACCACAGAAAAGGCTTAGTGACACGGACAGTCAGCTGGTGTAACTTGATGAGTCCAGTTCCCTTCCCGTGGGGAGAAACGAGCTGTAGAAGACGGGGAGAGGAGGCAGGTCCGTTGGCCTGTGGGGTAGTTATTCCCAAACTGGGTTGTACGGAATGACTTACAGTATTAAAAACACAGATTCTGGGGCCTACCTCTGAGATTCTGATGCACTTGGTGGATCTGGGCCAGGGCACAGCAGATCGGCTTTTAAAAAGCTCCCAGGTGGTTCTGGGACATGCAGCACCAGGTTTGGGAGCTGAAAGTGCCACCACGCAGTTGCTTTTCCCTGTGTCTCTCACCTCAGCACCGCCTGGCTCCTTGGGTGCGGGCTGGCTGGCAGTCCCAGGGCAGGTGATGGCAGGGCTCCTCCGGCCCCTGCATGTCACTCTCTTGCTTCCTGCATCTTGTGAGGGCTAGCTCTGTGTTCACTCTACTTAGGCAAGGCTGTGTGAGTTCCTGGGGCAGCCAGCAGAATCTGTCCTTGGCAGACGTGTGAAACTTTAATCTCAACCCGTTCTGCTCCAGCTGGCTGTTTCTTGGCATCAACTCAAGAATTCAGGCGCGGCGAAGGAGGAGCCTCCTTTCTTCTCTGTGTCTGGGGGTAAATGCCCATTGCCCGGCAAGGGGGGGCGCTGGTGCAAGAGGGTCTGGGGGGAGGTCAGCCTCAGGCCTAGAGTCAGAGAGAGAGAAAACCACACACTAAGCCATTAGCCCCCATTAACATTTTAGCGTGGACTAATTCCTCAGAAAGGTATGTATTTCCAGTGGCGAGGGAATGAGACAGTGCAGATAGATCTTCAAGGATTCTGACAGGTCTGGGAAAGGTCTTGAGCCGAACTTTCTCTGTCTGGAATGAGGGTGGGAATGGAAGCTCTCCAAGGCCTGTTCCTGCTCTGGCATCTGTTTGTTCGGTCCGTGAATATTAATATTGATTGCTCTCCTACTGTGTGCCAGGGACTGTTCTGGGCGCCAGGGAGAACACACAGTGGACAAGACAGAGAAGGTCCAGCTCTGGTGGGGTCCCAGCCTGGGACCTGCAATTGCAGCTGCCTGGGGAAGGTGGTCCTGAGTGTGGCCGCCCCAGAGGCAGACCACTGGACACTGGATGAGACTCAAACACAACGTCCCTTCCTTCCTGTCATCATCCTCAGGGCCTGCTCTGAGTGAGAGGAGGTGCCAGAGACGGACAATGTCATTCCCCCATTCCATGAGTGCTGTGGCCGCTGGCCAGCTTCTGGAGTGGCCCTGCTGTCCACGGAGAGGTGGCATTTCAGCCAGTGGACATGGCAGTCCCTGGATGCCCTTCAGATCAAAGATGCTGACTCTGGGGACACAGGAGTCAGCCCTTGGGGCTGGACTTAATGAGGAAGGCTGAAGGCCGGAGAGACACTCACGGGTCTTAAGGAATTAAAAATAAGAAAAATATCTAGGAAGAGGTGCTGGGTTTGAGTTTAATAGATGGGTAATGGCATACCAAAGATTTCGGTTCTGGATTTGTACAGCATCGTATTTGACAGTCAGAATCTGTCAGTGGCTTTTGTTGTGCAGGAACCTGCAACAAGCTAATATTCAAAGCGTAAAGAGGGCACACAAAGGGGTGCCAGGAAACCTGAAAGAATGGCCAATTAGTGTGTTTAGGTGGAAGGTAATTTTCATATGAAAAAGTAAGAGATTCTTACTTTAGAAATGGACAGTTACTAAGGGCCCACGTTTAGCTATTTGCCGTTTCTCCCTCCCTCTCCCATGGAAAATGAATCAATTTCTCTTCCTTTTTCTCATTCCTTGCATGCCTTCTCTTTTACCTCTTCCCCGACTCAATTCTGCAAATGCCAGAGTCCAAAAAACTATTATGCTGTGGGACACACTGCGAGGACAAAAGCGCCCGCTATTTGTAAAACAGGGTCATAGACTCACGTGGCTGGTGAGACAGCGGACACAGGTCCTCTCCTCCCCTTGGCTGACAGGATCGCCCCTGACCTGCCCAGGAAGATGGGCCCCTTGGCTTTTCGATGGGGAGGAGAGGCCGCGATCTCCCTGGATAACTTATCCTAAGTCCCACGTCCTCGTTGGCAGAGATGGTTTTCTAGCTGAAATCACTCATGTGGAAGCTGAAGCCATTCCTTTTGTTCCGTCCTCACTGGAGACGGTGAACAGCTGGTCTCCAGCCTCTGAGGAATATCCCTTTAAACCTTGCGGGCATTGTTAAATGGCCTCTAGTTTTCTCTTCCTCAGACTAAGAATCATAGTTTCTTTTTCCCATTCCTCATGGGTCCTATTTCCCAGCCCCTTTCACATCTTTGTTCTTTGAATGCTCTCCGATTTTTCTAAGAGATTCCCCTTTGGAAGTTATTTGAAGGAAAACAACAGAAGGGGCTTTAGATGTACTCAGTGCTGGCAGCCCTCTCACCTTACCGCAAACCTTGCTGCTCCCACTGGCTGGGTGGCTTCTGGAGCCTCGACTCCAGGGGCCAGGCTGTGCCTGAGGGTCTGAGCAGCCTGAAGAGGCCAGCGGGCTCATGGCTGGACCGCTGGAAGATAGCGTGAGCCTGGCCCAGCGCTGGCTCACCTTGGGCTAAACTAGCACCTGACGTTCGGAAGGCCAAGACTGACCAAATGAACTCTTGTCCCCGTATTGTCTCATCTGGACTTCTCTCGGACAGAATGGGCAATCTAAACCCTGGTTGCTTATAGTGAAAAAATCTCTTTTTTTAAGAAAGGAAAGAAAAATTAAGTTCACAAAAGGCTAATGGTTATATTGAGAAGAACGATGCCTCTGGTGCTTTGCCTTGTTAGTGGGGGTGGGATTGAGGGCAGAAGTGACCGGAGAGTGGAGTTAGGGGGCCCAGGGGCCCTAGCATGTGAGACTGAGGGCCCAGTGGATGACTGGGGATGGCTGAGGGTGAAGATCTGTAGGGTGGTTAGAGTGACAGATGCTCACCAAACTTCGGGACAAACTGCTGATGGAGGTGGGGGAAAGGCTGGCAAAGAGACAGACGTACTGTGAACAGGATGCGGCAGCTCAGGGGAATCAAAAGCGGAGAGATGGAGAGACGAAGAGACGGAGAGATGGAGAGACGGAGAGAGAGAAAGAGAGTGAGACAGAGAGAGAGGGAGAGAGAGGGAGAGAGTGAGGAGTGGGAGAGAGAGAGAGATGGAGAGATGGAGAGATGGGGGTGTGGAAAGAGGGAGACAGAGAGAGGGAGAGAGTGGGGAGAGAGAAGGGGAGAGAGAGAGAGATGGAGAGATAGAGAGAGAGGAAGAAGGAGAGATGGAGAGATGGGGGGGTGGAGAGAGGGAGGGAGAGAGAGGGAGAGAGAAGGGGAGAGAGAGAGAGAAAGTCTAAGGCAAGGTATGAGATCCTGGGATGTGATCAGTATGCATATTAGTAAAAATATGCCCCTGCCCCCACCCCCACCCCCGTGTCTCTCCATCTCTCCCTTACTCCTTAGACTGCGGTTGGCCTAAAAGAAAGTGAGGGTAAAGAAGACTGGAGAACTCACACAGAAACAGCTTCGCTTTGTCAGAGACCAAAGAGTTAAAAAGGAGCTTTATTTAAAGGCTGAGAGTCTGCAGAAGTGAGCTAGGAAGTCAAACTGGAGATGACTCCACTTAAGACCCTCAGTCAAGTTAGTTCAAGGAATTGGATGCCATGCATCCGTGACTTACCTAATGTGTACAAGAGCTGTGATAGGAAGCAGTATAATCTTTAAAAAACTAAACGCAAACAGTCAAAGAACCATTGTCACCTTTAAAGCAGTCACCTGGGATCATTTGTTCAACCAATGTGAAGGTTTCCACAACTCCTCTTTTGTTTGTACTTTCTAAGCCTACAGCGCAGACAGACTTTCACACGTCTTTATGGGTGGGGAATCTCACCAATAAAGGGAGATGTATTTGATTTGGAGGAACAGTTAGAAGTAATTGGAGCCAAGACTGGGGAATAGGTGTGTGATCAGCCTGGGAAGTGTTAAAGAAAACTAAAGCTGGACAGAATTTACAGTGGTGAAAATAGGTTTTATTCCAGAACTATTATAGCAATAGGGGAAGAGAGATCTCAGTATAGAACTGAGCTCAATTCTGGCCACAGCAGGGCCAAGTCATAGCTTGGGGGCCAGGGGATGGAAAATCACTGAAATTACACTAGGGATAAAGGGGATTCTGGCTAAACTGACTTAATAGGATTCTTGCTGAAGGCAGGCCAGGATGATCAGATGCCAAGGGGAGGGCATGAGGACTCTGATCAGATATTGAGGGTGGGGTTCCTGCTAAACCGACTTAGCAGGGTTTTTGCGAAAAATGAGCATGAATGTCCAAAGATTGAGGCCTAGTTGAGAAAAAGGTTCAGAGAAGCCTAACTAAATTTGGGTCAAGGAGGGCATCTTGTCTTTTTTTTTTTTTTTTAAATCAAAAGTACTTTACAAAGGCACAGTTTGAGTTGGAGCTTAAGCTAGAATTTCCCTCTTTTTGAGAATCTATCAAATGGTTTGGAATTTCCACATAAGTTCAACTTATGTTTGACTGTTTGACCTCCAGGAATGAATTCTGCATGAACAATGGACCTGACGTCAAAGAAACCAATCAACTCTGTCATCGGTTGTGATTTTGATACATCAGCTTTATGGATCCTCCCAGGGTCTGGAGGCCCCACGGCAGACGTTGACACTAATTTTCCAGGTTGTGTCAGAAAACACATGGTTTATCACCACTTACTCTATTCCTTAAGAATGTACCATTTGTACAGCTTTACTTAAAAGATAAGGACAAAAGATGCTTGCATCTTTCTGTTTCGATCCATCACTCAAAAATGTGTGGTGCAATCTTTCTGTTCAAGCTTTCTCTAAGGAAGAGTCTGTGTCTTTATCTAAATTTAACTCCTCAACCTTCCTTCTCCCAGTCAATCAGCCGTGTGAATTAGCCAGATTGCTGACGGCTTAAACATTTTTATTGATCTATGGACTACTGCTTGTCCATCAAGGATGACTTTCCTACCTTTTAAGCCTCTTCTTTTTCTTTAAAATGATCCTTCTGGAACAAATTCATCTTCTTTCCAAATGTATCATTTGCAGATCAATTTCCTTAAAGATACAGTATTTTTTGCCCTCATGATTCTTAGATATAGCTTATGTAAAAATAAAATGTACTTCTTGATCACAATTTCTTAATCCTGTTAAAAACCAAAATTCAACTGAGTAAACTTTAAAGATCTTATTGACTTTATTCTGTGACTCGTGAATTGGGTAGCATCCAATCTAGCAGATTGAAAGGAGCTCCGAGGAGCTGGACAAAATGAAAGGCTTTTACAGGCAGAGGGGAGCAGGAACAAGGAAGTTCCACCGGAAAAAGGTGGGTGGGTTTTTGCAAGGTCGCTTCCTTTTCGGGGATGGCACGGTCTATCAGGCAGATTGTCAAGCTAGTGCTGACCAGGGGACTCCTGCTCGACTGGTTTAAGATTCCGTTTCTGGGAGAGCCAAAATTGTAATTAAGTTAAGTCTTGGTTTGGTGATTGGGGCTCAGCATGA